AATGGATCTAAAAACATTCCTTGGGTTTATTTTCTTATAGATATCCATATGAACTCCTGGAAGTTTACAAAAAAAAATCCATTAATAAATAAAATCAACACCATGCTATCACAGTAGTTACCATATTAAGCAACCACACCCAATTTAAATGAATGATTCATTAAAATTAATTAAAACCCTCTGTGGTTAGTTTTGACTGCTTTCCTGTGATGGAATGCAGTACAGTCAAAAGAGGAAGGGGGTATTTTCTAATGAACAAAGAGGCAGTTCAGCATAGAATCTTTGGCATGTAGAGTGAAAGTGGACCCTCCTTAATTTTTAATAGGGTCTATCTAATAGTTATGTAGATTTGTGCTTTAATCTGGCAAGATTCCTGTCTACAGGCGAGCAACAATAATTTGCTCTGCAGTAACTACTTGTGTCATTCTTGGTTTCTTGCACCAGTCATTAATCTTTGTGTATGTGTTGTCTGCATTCCCAGCAAGTTGTTCGTCTTCTCTTACAGGAGGAACAATTCTCTATTCAGAGTTATGACTGGGTAGGCAGAATGCCAGGTGGTTCAGTTCAAGCAACATTTTCACTTTGCAGGTTTTAAACTTCAACTTGCTGCTTTACATCTAGGCATCAGGTCAAGACTTACACTATATACCTACCTTGGCCTAAAGTGGGTCACCATTTAAGATAATTTTAATAAAATTAGCTATTAGGTTAAATTTGGTATATGACACCAGAGAAATGATAAACAATGTACAAAAGCATTTCAAAACAGAGTTGGAAATGTGAAAAGCATGAGGGAACATTTTTTTCAATAAACGTTTTATTTCATTCACAAAGTTAAAATAGAAATCCCAGAAATGAGAATGCAAGAATGCAAGAATAAAGTAGAACAAAACAAGACATTAAAAAGTGCTTTAAAAACCCACATACACATATATTGCCACCCCTAGTTGAATAGTGATGAAATACGTTTCAAGGACAACAGTTCCCCCGTTGCAAAACAGGCTCACAATTTATGAACTTTCATAGCTGTTTACCCAACCAGTCTGACCTGGCATCAATCTGCTATATATAAAAAATAGTTAACAGATAAAACTAACAGCAAACTTCAAACCCCTCTCTTAACAATCATTATTATAATTAACTCAAAGAGATAAGAAATTATTGTAATTAACTCAAAGATAATTCAGAGATAATTGTGGTGGTTTATGTTAGATCAGAAGTTATTATCGCTGATCCATCCTGGATCAAATATCTTCGATTGATTTTTCCTTAAAAATTTTATTGGGATCTTTTCCAACAATTGCCTCTCTCATCCCCTAAACTCATAAATCTCTGTTGTAAATATTTCTCCAGCATTTGTTCAAATAATTTTCCTACAAGTTGAAATGCAGCATCTCTTGATTGAATATAATAACTCCATCAATCTTCTTAAGAAAAGTTCAGTCACTCATCAATTCTATCATCTCCAAATCTTTTGAATCCATGTCTCTTTCAGTCTTTTCCAATAAGCCTGCAATTTTCAAACCAAGCTCCTTCTCCTATCAAATTTGCCAGCCACAAATTGTATTCTAATCCATTCAACTGTAAACCTGGTTTAGCTATTGTTACTTGTAACTGAGTGCCATATTTGGGTTCATTTAAAACCATTTTTAATTTATCAACTTTTTTCTAGATTTTCAAATTGAACTTGTAAGATGAAAAACATTTTTTCAAAGGCTCCCCAATGGGCTTTAATATAAAGGTGATCAGGCTCTTGCCTTAATTTTATCTCTTTTTATAGACATTGTAAGGAATGTATGATGTATATTTAGAATTCTTAATTTATTGTTGTTTTGCATTTTAATATTGTGAAAGCTCAGCTCAACGTTGCTGTTCAGCACACCATTGTGTCCTTCTGAGAATGCAAAGAAATTTTTGATACAAATCCATACAATAAAGCATTTTAAAGCAAAGCATTTTAAAGATTAATATTATAAAGAAATCAGAATTATTTTTGTTGGGACTTGTGGAAAATGAATTAGAAAAGAGTTGAAAAGAGTTGTGGTAGATTGATCTTGTATATAGTAACTGCAGCAAGCCTATTGTTATGTACAACAATGGAACAATACTGAAACTCCCAGTGGAAGAATGGATTGTGAAAATGTCAGAATTTGCAGAAATAACAAAATTGTAACTGTTTAGTTGGAGAAAAAAAGTAACAATAACTTTTCAGAAAGACTGAAACCTTATATTTGCTGACAAGAAAAATAAAAAAGATTATATTTTTAAAATTAAGCAAGATGTGGATTAAATAATAGGCTGAAGGGATTTACATAACATCTAAGAGCAAGAAGGGATAAGATTGTAATTATCTGTTAAGGTCAAAAGTCATCCATATATTTCTTGACTTTAGCTTGCTTTCTTTTTTCTTTCTGGACAATCTCTTTTCCACCCTTAATAACTTATGTTGTCCACTCATTGTAGCTGAATATCACAATGAAGATCATAAACCAGAGCAACCAAGTTAGTTCTTCTCATACCTGGATTCCAATTGGAAAGAATCTATTTGCTTCATCCAATGTGCTCTGTATTTGTGGTTCTCTTTCAACGAACTTCCCTAAAAAAGGTAAAGTTGGAAACTGTCTACACTGGCTACAACAGGGATTGCCTCAGGAAGTGGTGTACCTCTGGCTTCTTCAAGTGGGCACACATAATAACTTTCCATTATTTATGTTGTACCTCCCATGCTTCTGAAGGAGCCAGATAGGACAGGAATGTAACCCACACATGACATATCATCCTATCTATTTCTTGGATTCAACAAGCTGAAATGAACCCTGAAAAAAATCACAAGATCAATTGGTCTTCTGAACCCAACTACATGATGACTAGCCAGAACAAATCTGAGTAGTTTTAGCTGCAAAATCCTATTCCAAGATTTAAAGAGTCTGGCACAAAGATTCTCTTGCTTCTTGCCTCCCACGAGAGAGGGTGAAACTCCTAAAAATACTGATGGGATATTCTGCTGATGCAATAATTGTGATGGAGAAGATATGGTAATTACATTATCACATAGCATATTATTATTTTTGATGGCAAACCTTTATAATTATGGTTGAAGTTTCTGAGGAAACTCTTGAACAATCTCTTTTTTATTTCTCTGCAGATTTTGATGCAATAAGCCTTAGATTCCTATTTAGTATTTACATAAGTACCCCATTAGTACCTACATATATACCCCATCAAGCAGTCATTTGTGACCCATTGGTGGTTTTAAGGAAATCAATAAATTCCACTGCAGACACTGCCCTTGAAGATGAGTTGCCAAGCATCTCTAACATCTTCAGGTCTCACCACTGTTGCCTACTACAGTGCTGCTGACACTTTCTAGGAGCCAAACAGCTGATTGGAAAACCAACCTGCAATGATTTTTAATTATCAATGTGGCCCTTTCTCCTCTACAAATTGCGCAGGCCTGAACTATATGAAACTTATGGGCGTTGGATAAAATGCATTACGTTAGCTTTGGGTAAAATGCCATCAATATGCTGATACATTGCTTTATATTTCCACCCCTCACTTCACAAGTTCTTCTGGATGGGGAAATAATTGGTTGTAGTTCAATCTTGACAATAGCAAATGGCTTTCAGTTTAATTCTACACACTACATGGGATAGCACTGCACTAGATAGAGTTGGTGTACAATCTGGGGTCCTCTTAAACTCACTGCTGAACGCATTCACAGCTGCAGTTTAAGGGAGTCTTTGCGTTGTTCATCTTGTGCGTCAGTTGTGCCAGTTCTTGGACTCAACCTTAGTCATTTCTCAGTTGGATTACTGTAACATGCTCTACATGTGGCTGCCCTTGAAGAGCACTCAAGAGACTTCACGGATGCAGAAAGCAGCAGTACCCATATTACCATTTTGGGTGCTCCAAAGTGTGCCAACGCAACACCATGGTTGCACAAGTTGCATTGGTTTCCTGTATATTTTCAGCTTCAACCTAAGGTACTAGTTATTACTTTCACATCCTTACATGGCACGTGCCAATTTACTTGTGGGACCATCAAACAGTATGGTCAGTTTCTGCCTATTCCACCAGATTTTTGGGGGGAGGGAGGCATGCTCCAAGATCCCTCTCTCAAATATTGCCATCTTGAAGGGAGAACGATGTATCTTCTTTGTCAAAGCAACTTCCCTATTGAACAGGCTCTGCCTGAGATTTGGGTGGTTTCAATTTTCTTGTACTTCTGGAAAGCTACTAAAGCCCAGATCTTCCCCCAGGCATTAGAACTAGGATGTCAGGGGAGCCACAATATACGTTACTATTGCAACACTTATTTATTTTATTTATTTTTATTTGTCAATTGCTTACAAGATAATAGGTATTAGTAAAAACATAGTTATGAATACATGGATGCATATAAGAAAAATAAAAGGAACAATAGGACAGGGACGGTAGGCACGTTGGTGCGCTTATGCACGCCCCCTACAGATCTCTTAGATTAGCTTCGGTTTCCTTTCCCTGCATTGATTTATTCTGATTACTTACGTTCATCACCAAGAGTTATACATTTTAAAACGAGTGGCTTTTAACAATTAAAAAAAATATTAATATTTCCATTTATGTTAATTAAAGACAAGAACGTAAGCCGTTTGTTGTTGTTTGAAAGGGGGGAAAAACGGCGGCTGCCACGAAAATACTAGACTGAACTGCAGGGAACCGTCTCGAAACTGGCCAAAACAGGAATCACACTCACACACAAACACAAAACGCTCCTTCTACCGCCATTGTAACGAACAGCTAGCCCGCATTCGCCCATTTCCACCCCTCCCCACCTTCCTCCTGTCGTTCCGTTTTCCTTTCCAGAGAAAACGGGGTGGGGCCATTTTCGATTTCCGCCCCTTCGCGCTTTAGTCACATCGGCTCCCGAACGAAGAACTGCTCAAGATGGTGGACAGCCGAGCTGAACTAGGCGGGGTCAGAGTGGGCGATGCTTGACGTTCGCTCCGCCCACACCCGGAAGTACGTCTCCTACAATGGTTGGAGCAGGCGGAGGGTCGCTTTCCGGGTAGCGGCTTCTCGTACACTGGGGCGGTCATGGCGGCAGCGACCGAGCTGCAAGGGAAGTACCAGAAACTAGCGCAGGAATATTCCAAGGTACTGGCACGTGCCAACTCCCCCAAGTACAGAGACCCTGAAAAGTGCCGACCCGCCGCCAGTGGTTTCAGACCCCATAATGTGTCCCCTCCTATCTTTTCTAGGTATCAAGAAAGACTTGATGCCATTCTTCTGTTTGAAATGTTGAGCTGGCATATCTTTTGTCTCCTTGTTTCAATGAAGGAGGGAAACGCAGCTCTTCACCGAATTCGTTTGCATTCATTCACGCCCTGATATTTAAATCAATTCAGGGAGCAACTGGTGTGAAAGAGTCTAGCCTGAGGATTTCCTTTATCTGCTTCAGCCTTTCTGTCCTCAGCTCCTTCATCCCACCTTCATTCCGGTTTAGGGAAGGTTGGGATCCTATAAATAACCTGTTCACATGAGGAGAATTGGGAAAGAAAGGTTTGAAGATTGTTAATACTGTATTGTAAAAAAGAGCCAGCAACTGGGGTTAAAATGATAAAGAGATGTAGCATTTTATTGAGGGCACAACACTAATGTTAATATGTGAATTTTTTAAAAAACAGATTTTTTTATCCAGTCTCTTATATTGTGAGCTCACTTGGTGTAGTGATTAAGATACTGGAGCAGAAGTTGGTGAAACTGTAAGTTTTGGTCCTCTGGAAAGCTGGTTGGTGACTCTGTGCCAGTCATAGTTTCTCTCAGCTCAACCCACCTCACATGGTGATTTTGGGGGTGGTGGTGGAATAGAAGGTAATACTTTAACCACCTTAAGTTGTAAAAAATAAAAGTGGGCTATAAATAAAATAGTAAAAGAATGTATGTGCTCATATTGATTAATCATTGTTCTTTGGGTTCTATTTCAAGAACTCTGCTTGGAATCCTTTTACTTCAACATTGCTTGCTTACTGAGACCCTCTTTGGACCAATTCTGTTCAATTCCCCATAGAGATAATTTTCAAATTTTTGTTTTAGCTGTAGGCATACAATTTTACGGGCCTAAATTATGTTTGTGCAGAAGTGCTGTTTCACCTTGGCTGTGAAACATTTATATTGTTAATTAAACTTTCCAAAGCTTAAATTTGTTTTGGAATTTTTCTTTCTTTCTTGGTATCTGTATTTTATTAAAAGTGTTTAATTAATATTTTCCTAAAGGATGTCAAAGACCATATTGCTTCATAGCTGAGTTAATCATTTCTCTCTGTGTTTTGCAGCTTCGTGCTCAGAATCAAGTATTGAAAAAGGGTGTAATGGATGAGCAGGCAAACTCAGCAGCTCTAAAGGTATAGCTTAAAAATACTGAATAGCTTGATTAAAAAGAACATTTCTCAATAGGGCTGGCCATTGTCTGCTATGATTCTGAGTTAGCTGATGTACCAGTATAATGTGTGAAATATTATTTCAGCTTAAAAGTAAATTGTATCACAGAGATTTTTAGTTTAATCTTGGTGAAATCTGTCACCACTTCTTTTGTGTAAGACCTCTTGATTGCTTGTAGTAGAATTGGGTTTATAGTGAAAGCTAATCCCTGTGGGAGAATTGCTGCAGTTTACTTTGGGAAAGGCAAAAATCATATTTTGATTTTTTGAAGGTCTATCACAGAATTGACAGCAGGCAAAACAATTTTCTCTTAAATCTCCATATAGAAGCATTGTTTTCATTTGTTGATCTTAAGTTTGTTTTGAATTGATACATGAAACCTATTGAAAGTTTATTTTTTAAAACTCCCACCAAAGTATCAGTAGTAAGAGTGTCAGTGTAGTATGTATTAACCTTAAGCAAGAACTCCCAGATTCAAATCCATATTTGACTGAAGAATGTATGGAATAAGCTTTGGCCAGTCAGGCTCTTTTATTTCAATCTGCCTCATAGAATTGTTGTTATGGAGACATTAGAGAGACACTCCCATATAAGTTACATTGAGCTTTTAAAGAAGAAAGGAAGCCTCTCAATGCAATAAACATATTTTATATCTATTAAATAAACATTATTTCAATACTTTACTTCCATACAGAAATGATGAGTATATCACTTAACTAGTTTTAGTAATCTTAGATAAAACACCATGATTCTCAATGGTCTTTAGAAGACTTTGGATGTGACAAGGAATTGTTAAAATCAATCTGTGCTAGAACTCAGTGTGATGAAACATTCAATTTTAATACAGGAACAAATGAAAATGAAAGACCAATCACTCAGGAAGCTGCAACAGGAAATGGATAGTTTGACTTTTCGAAATCAGCAGTTGGCCAAGAGAGTAGAGCTCCTTCAAGATGAACTTGCATTAAGTGAATATAAAGGCAAGAAGAACAAGGTAGGTAGCAAGCTAGTTTTCTAGCATATTCTATAAATGTAGTAATACAAATAGTTAAGAATTCTCCCATGTTAGAATTCTTACCTAACTAATTATTTTATTGTAAAAATCCACAATTAATGATATGAAAAATGCCTTCAGAAAACGAGCATATTTTGTTTTGATTAGAAAAGTGGTGACTCTGTAACTCAGTTGAGTCAAGAACAGAAAAACGTCTTTGGTGAAGATCTTCAAAAAAAGATAGAAGAAAATGAGAGGTTACACATTCAGGTTGGTAACTTTGTTTAATACATCATCCAAACACTTATATTCTTGACAGAAATTAGTAAGGAAAGAATGGGGCACAGTTGGGTGAAAAAGTTGTATCCCTCCGCAGTCACTCTCTCCTGGTCTGAGTAATGTTATTGTAGGTGGGGGCCAAACTCCAAATTTATCTTCTTGTTGATTTTAGTAAAGGCCCATGAAGTATGTATTTGGGGCCATCTTTCTGAAATAAACAGATTTGGATGATAAAAAAGGGATCTCAATTGACTTATGTGTCAGCAAGGTGGGCTGCATATAAATTAAATAAAAACCTTGACCCGTAAGCTGGACAAATGGTCTTGAAAGCTTGATTAGGCTTGTGGGTTAGGGTTTCTCCATTCTTAAAATAAAGCAGTTAGAACAAGAACCTGAATATAACATAAGGACAGTTTAGGCAACAATAACCAGTTGATTCAGTTCTGTAACTGTGCTATGAAATGAGTTGGCTTGTGTCAGTACAGGTGACCCTCATTTAACCATTTGTTCAGCAATCTATGATAGCTGTGATGGCACTGAATGAATGGTACTTATGACCAGTCCTTGATGTTTCAGTCGTTGCAGTGTCCCTGAAGTCATGAGATTGTGATTTGGGTGCCTGGCAACTGGCTTGCAGTTATGATGGTCATAGTCACATAATCACAATCTAGAGGTTCGGTAACTAGCTTACAGTTCTGACATCACAGCATCCCATGGATCATTATTAGTAGCCTTCACTGCTGGCTGCTGACAAGCAAAATCAATGGGAATGAAGACAGGAGGCTGCAGATGGCGACCACATGCCATTGCACTTAATAATGTTGCGGGTTTTGTTTAACAATGCCAATCAGAAGTGCCAGAATTGCTGTTGCTAAGCAGCATGGTCACATGATGTTGCACTTTAAAACCATGTCACTTAGCAATGGAAATTCTGGGCCCAGTTGTTCTGGGTCTTAACTGAGAACTACTGGTAGAAGTAACAGGACATCTTAGAAACATATAACTTCTGAGAAATACTAAATAGGCAAATTACAATTTCTCTTAATATGATTTGGAATTATGTCTAGTAAGAACAATTGTGGTTTCATTTCAGATTTGATTTGGATAGTGCTGCATATTTCTTTCTTTTTTTAAACATATGTACTATATATACTAAACTATTCTTCCTGTTTCATGGCATTTCCAACATTTATTATTATTATACAATTTCTCTATCTTGGCAGCTATTGATGGAGTTTAATACCAACTGTGATAACTTTTCTGCCCTTCTCATTTCAGTTCTTTGAGGCAGATGAGCAACATAAGCGCTTAGAAGGTGAGCTGAGAAGCAGACTTGATGTTTTAGAGATGGAGACTGCACAGCATCAAGCTGTGGTGGATGGCCTTACTAGGAAGTACATGGATACAATAGAAAAGCTGCAAAATGATAAAGCCAAGTTAGAAGTAAGTTTAAAGCTATAACTTCCCTGTTGTAGAACTCTGCACTTTTGAGACTTAAATGATTCAAGCAGTGGCAGTTTGAGAATTGTATGCTTTAAATTTAAGGTAGAACCAGAATTAACCTTGCATCCCTGCATACAGCTATTTTGCTCCTTCATTTCTCTCATTCTCTAACATTTTCAGTTGTCTAATTTCCTAAAAAATAGTTGTTGATAAGTTTAGTTTTTTTTAAATATAGTGCTCTTTAATGCTAATTTCTGATCTTGGAATAGAATTAATTGTGCAAATACATAATGATAATTCTGATGTTTCTTCTGCCTTTTCTTTTAGATCAAATCTCAAAGCCTAGAGAAGGAAGCCAAGGATTGCAGAGGTCGAACAGAAGAGTGGTATGCTTTTGATATTGTAGATTAAATACTATTAATGTCTCCCTAGAGAAAGTTGTTTTTAATTAAATTACTGTTTATTATCATCTTGATCATCAAGCACCAGCATTAAACTTAAATGCATACCTAATTATATATAGAGGTTAGTTTTAAAAATTTGTATATATGCCTTTTACTGTTACTGCCTTACTGTAAGATGTAAGATTTTTGGGCTGGGTGACTGTATGCCCTGTTCTATCTTTGTTCTCCATGCCCTTGGATTTATTGAGAGAGGCAGTTGTTCCTCATCAGAGGGGATCTGCTATCTATCAGCAGCACCACTGCCTGTCAGCACGCAATCCTTCTCTGTCTCTGAGGACAGGCAGCTCTCCATCTGGTTGACCGCTTCCCACCATGCCTGAGAAGCCTTGGACAGCCCTGGCTTCTCCAAACATGCCAAGGGTGATGCGCCATCCCTGTCAGACGGTCCCAGTTCCAACTCCTCCTCCTCTAATCCGGGCTCCAATGGGGCCATACTAATATTATAGTACTAATTAGTAGTATATTAATAAAAAGTTTTCTTGATGAATTGTAATATTGGGGGTATACTTTTTTGTTTTGTTTATCAGGTGTTTTTTTTTAAGAAAAGGAACAAAAAATAAAATGATTGTCTTATTTTTGTCTATTAGCCAGCGGCAGCTACAGCATCTTCATAGAGACCTGAGTAGCAGATTGGATGAGTCTTTACGGATTATAAGTGAAAAAGTACCTTTCAATGATACAAGTAGGTATTGAATTGAATTGATTGCATTTGCAGTTGAATAAAGGAAAAAAATTGTAGAAAATTGAAAAGCTGTTTCCTTATTCTGATTTAATATAATTTTTACACGTATTTATATACTTTTTTTATTTTTATTTTAAAATATGGTTATTGGTACAGGTTGTAAAGACACTATTCTTGGATGACTTATGAACTAAAAAAGTTTTAAAAAGATGGCCAGAGGAAGTATACTTGATCTGTCTAATACTGTGAATTGATTATTTTGTAGGATCTAGCCAGTATAATGCTCTGAACGTGCCATTACATAATCGACGCAGGCAAGTGAGTAATACAATTAAGAGTGCTTAAATTAAGAAATGTGGATTTCTTTGGCATTTGTGAATCAGTGCTGAAGTATGTTTAAATGATTTCAGACTCTGAGTAATATCTAGTATAGTAGAAATGTTTTTTTTTTTAAAGAGAGACCGGAAACTGCTTGATTCCTTTTAAATGAGAAATGAAGAAATTGATTTTGGGAAGCAGGACAGCTGCAGGACAGGAGCACTTAATGCAAGAATTTATTCCCGCATTTTGAACTTTAGTTTATGAGATTGATCTCTATTTTCATGAAAAGATAGAAAGTTCTTGAGCAGAACTCAATTTCTGGTGATTTGCATTAATCTTGACTGTTTTTTTTCCCAACTTTCAGTCTATCCTACATCTCTGTTTTTTTTTTATGATCTCTTAACAAAGTATTAATCAGGTCCATGCTACTTATATTTTTGAGATCAAGGTTAGCTAGATGTTGTTGAAGAATAATTGAAGAATAAATAAATACTGTATCTTGCAGATATGATATTGAGTGTAGTGTTGTAAGACAATAGTCTGAAATCAATTGTAAGCTCTTGTGTCAGCTGTGGTTCCACCTCATTTGGGAACAACTCCATTCCTTTGCAGTGAAAACTTATGTAACACTATTCTAACGTGGAAAGTATCTTCAGAAGGGTAGGGTAGAAGAGCAAAGTCACTTATATGATCTGCTTTTTGCTTGTGTGCCTCTAACATTTAACTCCATGTCTAATTTGAAATGCCAATGTGTGCTCCTGAGCTTTTGCATATCTGGCCTTTTAAATATCATCCTGGCATTTCTATATTTCAGTTGGGAACACTGTTAGATAAAAGTTCTTTTAAAGTTGTATCTTGGTTCTCTATACTTTTACAGTTGAAACTTCGTGATCTTGCTGGTCAAGCTCTGGCCTTTATCCAGGATTTAGTGACAGCTCTCCTTAATTTCCACACCTACACCGAGCAGCGAATTCAGATTTTCCCAATTGATTCTGCCACAGATACCATTTCACCCTTAAATCAGAAGGTACTATTATTGGGGGAATTGTATACCATTAAATATAATGAACAGATAACAACATGCTACTTCTAAGCATTCTATAGCTTGACAAGCACAGTAGAACTGTTCAAATAATTTTTGCATTTGTGAAAACTTCAGTATGCAGAATTGGGTTAGGTATGTTGTTCTAGTCTCTCGTTAGGATAACTTTATTTCTAATTTGACGATTCCAGATTATATTGCATCTTCAAATGAAAAGAAGAAGCACATGGTAGGGAAAACTGCTTAAGTTCTAAAAAAGTTGTTCCTAGCTACTATATACTATACTTGGCCAATGGATCAGTAATTTGACTTGATGTAAGATAGCTTCTTGTTCAGTGTCTCTGAACTGTAAGTTTATATATATATATATATATATATATATATATATATACATATGTATAT